TAACCTGTGATGTTTGCCTTTCAGGGAAATGTAAATCCTCACTATGCCTCCACAACCAACAATCGTCCATCATGATACAAGCAAAGTCCAACAAACATGGCCTTTGGCCTTTGACGGTCACAATGTTGATATCAACCAGATACTCGGGGCTGTTAATGTGTAAACATTTAATTATTTGGAAAAAATATAGGAAGTGCTTCCTTTCTCCCCCACTCCACCCCCCCATCCATCCCATCCCATCCCACCCCACCTCGTTCGCTCATTCACTGAACGCTCCAGATCCAAATTTGATAAAAGTTTTAAAAACGTTCAAAAAAAGTTACGGCTGCCATTTCCTACTTTTTTTTTTACACAGCTGTATAACAATCTCTTACAAAGCAAATGTTCATTTTCGACATCTATCAACAAAACTCCCTGACCATTAAGCGGTAGTAGAGAGATTTCAGCGAATGCGAAAAAGATTCTGCGGATGAGCCCCAAGAAACAGTAATAAAGTGCTCTTTCTCTTAGCTCTGGCCTCCATCCATCTTTTCTCTCTCTCTCTCTCTCTCTCTCGTTGAGCTCTTCTCACGAGCTCCTCCTCATTGATAAGCGCTCTGAGACGCCATCCTGCGTGGAGGGCGTTATAAAAGTGCACGTTTTGTTGTTGTTCCTCTCCGCTGCATCAAATCAAAACTCATCGTTTCCTACGTCTTATTCTTTCCCATAAACTTCAAGACTGTAGAACTCAAGTCCCTCAGTCCTCTCTCTCTCCCCCCATCCTTCCCCACCTCTTTCTACAGGTTTTAAAACCGAAACTTGTGCTACTCAACCCTTCTTAGAAATTACCCTTGGTGGAGGACAGCCAGCCAGGCACTTATATTCTCAATTTATGTGGAAAAAACACTCGGACCTCTAGTATTTATTATCAGAAAGTTGGGCGTCGCATATAAAATGTTTCTTTTCCTCTCTTTTCGGTCCCTGGACTGTGGATTCTAGCTCTCCATTGATTCCACTTCAGATCCAGTTGCTAGGAGGTACAGATGCACATCCATACTTTGACTCACCCACTGATTTCCCTTCTCACTGGCAGAAACACTGTACAAGGATCCATGGGCGGTGATCTTGCGCCAGATCATTCCACAACACAGCACACAGTCAGTTGCTTGACGCACTCGACTGCTTCACAAATAATATAATCCTTGCAGACGGAAGGACATTTCAAATCGCTTCACAGGATTTACTGTGAGGTGGAGTGACTGCGTATTTATAGGCAAATGCGGCAGGACAATCGCGCACATCAATGTGCCACCACAAAGTAGTGGAGTGAGTGACCAATTTTATTAAGGGGGTTGCTGGCCAGGACACTGGGGGTAAGAAACTCCCCTTTCGTTTTGAACAGTGAAAAAACAATAATAATTTGGTCACTCAATCCACGACTGTTTGTGGGGACGCTGCTGTGCGCAATTGGCTGCCGGTTTCGCCCACAAAATATATAGTCAATTCAGATTACAATGTGTTCTGTGACGAGCCTTGAGACGTCTCGAAGACGTGATGAAGCGCAATATCAAATGAAAGGATCATCATCATCATTATTATTATTATTCATGCCATGGGATCTTTAACGTCCACCTGAACTGGCAGGCGGGACCTCAGTTTAACCTCTCGCCCGAAGGACGGCATCTCTGACAATGCAACACCCTCCTGCGCTGCATTGGAATGTCAGCTTAGACGATGTGAGTTCAAGCCCTGACGTGGCACGATTAGGAGCTGTTGCATAACCTCCACAGGCAATTACCAACCAATGTATTTTTACTTCCAACGTTTCAAAACAGAAAACTTACTACCACTACAGCCCGATAGCCACACCACAGCTGACGTCATACATTGCCGTGGGATCACTCCAATCGTAACAACAGCTGCTTGGAACCATCTCAATGGATAGCACGAGGGAAACGTGCAACACTCTGCACAAGCAGATACCGTCAATTGTCTTTAAGACCATCTTAAAGCCATAAAGTGTACGTACCTGTGCCTTCATATATAAACTGACAACTTATTTAGATATCACTTTTTTTTTGCTTCTCGCCCCGCGCCCCCAACCACCCTCCCCACCTATCCCCCCATCTCCAAAAGAACAGTTCGGACTAAACTACTGCTGCTACTACGAACAATCCTTGCATTTGATATAGTGCTTTGAGACGTCTCAAAGTGCTTCATAGGATACACTGTAAACTACAGTGACTGTGTATTTTGTGGGCGTAAGGCGGCAATCAGTTGCACACAGTCCATGGAGTGAGTGACCATTTTTATTTGGGGAATTTGTGGGCCAGGATTCAGCAGTTGGCTGGTGTGGTCACTTGTTGGGGTTAAGACGCAAAGTCCATCAGTTTTGATGGAATAACGTCAGTGACCCAAACCTAATCGCATGTTTACAAGTTCCTATTGTTCCCATTCGCATGAAAACTCATCCTGCAAAAGCTCAGCACTTTGGGTGTGTGCACCTTCACACACGGAGGATAATTTAATCAGTTGTTTTCATCCAGCAAATGTGAAGCTCGATCCTTTTACA